ATATATATATATATATATTGTACTTTTATTAAATATCTAGTACAAAAGAGTCAGCTTGAAGTAACCAATCTGTTTCAAAAATAAATAAAAGTGTCAGAGAAACTGCAACATTGGAGAGAGAGAGAGAGGGGGGGGGGCAAACAAGTAGGGGCTGACATATTGTGTACCGTAGTGAAATGTTCTCAGCTGAATAAAATGGACAATAGTATATTGTAGCCTTAAAATACATGCATTATTCAGATTTATCTTGTTCTTTTCATCAAACACAAACACTCTTTTTTACTAACATGGTATCTCCCTTCTATTGGTGCTTGATCAGTATTTTTCCAGTTGCATGACTAATGTTCTGTCAAAGTTCAGTGTAGGTCTCGATAATATGTTAAATCGAGCCAGTAATACCATGAGGCAGATTTCACTTCCACATCACATTGGTTTTATGAATTGTAAATGATTAATTTTTTTCCAGTTATCCTTATACACTGTTTGACAAGCACCTATTTTATGTGAATTCAGGTTAGTAAAAGTGGAGAGAAGTGCCCCCTGTTTACAAAGTGTGTGTGTTATGGCTCTTTGGCACATGAATTTCCAGGGCATATTGGTAATTACTAATTATAAATACTAATTTTCACCAATGTATTAAATGAGAAATTAAATAATTTAACAAAATAAAAAATGTCGGGACTGTAGAGTTAAAAAAAACTGAAAAAAGGTTTGCCAATAAAATGTAAAATACAACAACAACATAACACAAATCAAAAATGGAACTGCTGTGGAAATTTGAGCAAAACAAAATGTATGATTGAAAAAATATAAAATGAAATAACTGACAAAAATAAGCTAATATCAAAATATACTTTAAAGAATAATAATCTAGACACAGATTGATTATGGAGGAAAATGTTAGTTGAAGAGACTGACCATTCGTGATTGGAGATGTGTGAAAATAACATACTAAGGATTAGTAGATAAACTGTTGAAGATGTTTTTTTTAATTATTCATAACGTAACAGCGCTGAATTACTAACTTTATTTTAATTGCATTAACTAAAAAAATTAAGATTTTTACCTTCTATCAATAATATTAATATGTGTTCAGATAATGCTCCCTTCCTGTAAGTTTCACTGTTTTTCTGGAGTAATCAAAAGTTGAATACTTAAATAAACATCTTTTATCTCTATTTTTTATTAGTTTTCCTATGTTGAAATAGAAATTTAAAAAAAAATGTTTACATTAGTTTGTTTTTATGGCTTCATTTGACTGTTTTACTGATAAGCCTTTTCAAGTTCCTTCAATTAAACTTCACATTCCATCTGCTACTGAAGCACTGTAATCTTCTTTACAAGAATCACGAATTTCATATTATTAGTGAGGTATCATTGCAACTAGGTTGACTGACACAATTTAAATTATATTTTTCTGAGAAACATAATGCTGTCATTTTGTAATATTTATCACACTGTATATTGTAATTAAAATAGAGGCACAGAAATAAGTTAAATTATAAATATGAGAATACATAAACCTGAAAAATATCTGCCAAATGAAGTAACACTTCCTTATAGTAGTGTGGGTCCCTGACAGAAGTGCATATTGCAGTGGTTTTCACCAAATATGTATAACTCTATATTTGATGACTATTCCAAAGGATTAAACTAAGTCTTAAATACACGTTAAGAGCCACAAGCACTAGCCTACTGAAATGATTAAACAATTAAGAACTTATCCAACAATCTCCGTTCTCTTCTACTTGATGCTTACCTATGTAAGGGAGATTTTCCCTCTAAAATGCTTAAAACTGAAGGGAATTAATTCAAAAGATATCCCATAATGCCTCAAAAACAAGGTAATTTACAGCAGATGTACTCAAGGTTCACAGGTTTTTAGTAATTACAAGAAACTTTGCTTGACATCACATTGTCAAAACAATATGTGAACAAAATTCATATATAAAAAGCTTAAGAGAAGAAAAGAAAAAGTTGTATGAGGCAAGAGGTTATGGCTTTGCAATAAATGCATGTTAAATAAAGAAGGTAAAATTTACAGCAACAGTTGGATTAAGTTATGTTTTGCTACAATAGTATACTGAGCATTCTTGCATTTTGACTTATTACTCTGTGTGTACTTACAGTCTGCAGGAGATATTTCACTGCTAACAAGTGATTTCGTTTGATTTCCTCTAACTTGTCCATTACCTGAAAGGCATAATTTATTCATCATTCAAAGTCCCACTAGCAGACACTACAATTAGTACTGGGCTCAATACAAGTGCTGAACATTAAAAAAGCACTGAAACACTAGATAATATATGCAGATATCAATTCATTACATGTATAAATGGTAATAACTCATAAATGGTATGACCACAAATTATTTACAATCGAGATAACTAATGCCTATGTATAAGACATAAAATACCAACCATAAGTTATTACTAAGTATACAAACAGAAAACACACTATCATTAAAGCAGTTTATAGTTCTTTTACAGTTCATTCATGAGATATACTTTTACTCTTAGCCAAATGGTCTTGATTATAGACAAAAACACACATATACTGTTAATAATTATAATGGAATCATATGGTTCTCACAAAAAAAACAAAAAACAATTATGTTCATTATTAGGCAAATGTCACCTTTCGCCAGCTACAGATCCTTAAATCAAATCAAAACTAAATAATAAATATACAGTGTATTTAAAAAAATATTTCCAATTAATTTATATTATGTGTGATTTTTAAAAGTATGCTATATAATTATTCATTACTTTATGAATAAATTAAAATCAGGTTTTTCATTCCATTATATATATATTTAGTATAGGCTTTGACAGTATATAAGAGGCATAGTATTATGTCCATTAATAGTTGGATGCTATATTTTCAATATTTCAATTTCGATATGTACTACGCAGAGCTCGTCATTTAGATTACATTATGATCTAGAATTTAAGTGTAAAGTAAAAGCAGGAGTACAGTATAAATACAAGAATCAGTGAAGGAAGCAGTTAATGAGTAATGAGTTACTGAGTATTCAACAAGTAATTCTCTTCAGTTCTAGTAGGGAATTATCATGTGTATTAGCAATAAAACTCCATCAATTTATTTGTACGTTATGAGTAGGTTACATTAGTAATACAGTTCCTACTGAAACATTGTTTGTGAACTTAGACCAAGAACTTGTCAAAGTGAGCAAAGTCTGTGGCAAATATTAGTGAAGAAATAAATTAATTTGTTACTGTAATGTAAACCGGACTTGGAATTACTTTAACAAATAATCCAAGAGGACCTGCCTTTTATTATGCTTAGACATACATATTACGCATGTTGATAAATCTTATGTTTGTCTTTTATCCTGATAATCATCCGAATTTACTACTAGTGAGAAAATAATCAAGATTTTATAATTTAATGAATTAAATATTAATTATATTTAAAAAAGATACTTCTTTATCACAATGAGATAAAATGAGTTTGTCTAACAATTACATGTATTTCACTTAAATTTAATTATAATTTTCAAAACTTTGCTTCATCAAACTACAGCTACAAATAGTAATAACATTAACCTATCTAAATTATTTCAATTTTTGAATAATTTTAAACCTAATATCGAAAGAAAGCGTGCAATAATTAGTATCATGCACTCTGGATCAGGGCTATAGAAAACTCACACATTATGTGTGCTATAAATAATTTCCCTTAACAATAAAACAATATTTTAACACATACAAAAACATGATAATATAAACCAGTCTGATTTTTAATAAAAGACAGGCCCTACAAAATTGTATTACCCACTAGAAGTTGTAATAATCATTTCCAAGTTTATGCAAAACACCACTACTGTTAACACACCATTAATTCTTAGAAGCAAGCGTTAATTTTCTAAGCCTTAACTTGCTCTGTTCCTCCCATATAATGACATCCTCTTTGTTGGTGCTATTTCTGTTCTCCACCAAATACACTATTTTAAACATACAGACTCAATGTTAAAATTTTCCATACCTAAATATGCACTACCTCTCTGCACACTATAGTTATTCCTCATGTGTCTGCCTTTCAGATTTTGCACACACCACTAGCCTTGAGTTATCTCCCATCTACGACATGTGACTTAATGATAAATGCACTATTGCATGATGCAATCATCATGCGACAATAGCCTTTCACCAATATGAGGGTTAGACATCCTCAATGTGCTATAGATTCCCCATAAGCACTTCCACTCAAAATTTACTTTATTCTTAGACGAGGCAAAAATAATGTGCAGTGGTAGGGGAGAGAAAGGGCAGGAAGGTGTGCAGATTGGTAAGTTTCTATTGGAAATCCATTATCAGGTAAGGAAAGTGTAAACTTTCAAGACAAGATCCTTACCTCTCTTTACACGATAGTATAATCCCACACTGATGTGGTAGAAGGGTCAGTGCAATTTCAGTGACTGAAAGGAAAAGCTCAAAGAGTGTCATTTACTAGAAGGGTAACACTCACAGGAGACTGTATCCACCTCATGTAAGATATACTTTTTTTGCCCAGATGGTAGTATGAAAGGAGGAAGGCAAAGCCAATGTGTCATAGGGATGGGAAGGAAAGGGCTGACTACTGAGCATTTGCACACAACCAGGCATGAGGTGCAATGTGGCTAGGGAAATGGTAAGATTGTGCAGTTTGGTATGTGTTCTGCTGTATCAATAATTCACTGTACATTACAGAAACAGGGATGAAGGTCCCTTCCTGTCATAGGAGGAGAACACTTTGCTCCATATAGCTAGATAAACAACATGGAAATTGCACATAAGAGGGGACTACCTGCACTACACTGACATCGTCACTCTTGCCCTACGTTGTACTGCATTGTGCTGCCCTCTCGGAGGGATTGCACAACCAGTGAGGAACTCTACAAGTTGACCACCTGAGTAGCGAGGAACTACTAAGTGGTAAGGGTCTCCTGTGTGACTAGGGAAGGATAAACTTGCACCGGAGGAGACACCGGAGAGGTGCCAAGACTGAAGCAGACCTAACTTCTGTAAAAGTCTTTTGTAGGAAAAAAGGCAGTATGCTACTTTGAAACATAATTTGAAAAGCTGTCATGCACAAGACAAGGAAATGGCAAAAACTCCCATGGTGCTGGCTGTTTTTCATATTAGTCCACAGAAGGTATGGAATGGACAATGATATATATATATATATATATATAAACACACACTCACATATATACACCACTGTAATGGTCTTGTGGAAAACCTCATCTCAACAGTGGGCACTTTAGGAGCCAGGGTGGATGGGTTTACCACTTTCTGTTCTCCTTGACTTGATGCAAGCTTAGGGTAGTAAGTATACCACATAAGGCAGCACCTGCCAGTTGGTGGGTTACAAGGAGTGAATCATAAAAGAGTAGAAATGGATAAGGAAGTAAAAGAGGCACTTACCCATCAGATGGAAGATGAAGGTATTGGGCATAGTTCACATTCTATTCTGGAGGATATCATCCAGGGGTCGTGAAAAGTGTGAGGTCAGAGAGCAAGTCAGTGGCAGATTTGATGTGATGAAACATGATGCAGCCTGCAAGCTTCTCCATGCAGGGAGGAATATATGATCCAAATGAGTCAACAAATCCATCCATTTGGCATAAAGGACAAGGGATCCCTGAAAAAGAAGGGTCCCATGCCAAGACAAAATTATCACAGGAACACTGAAATAGAGTTATATGTGCCGAGTAACACTTCATTGCTCAAGTTGGACACAAAGGATGATCAGCAGCAGTATGATCATACAGAACCAAAAGTGACAGAAGAGAAATGGAAGAGAAGGAATCATTTTCCTCCTAAGCCTCCAAAGTAATAAGAAGAAACAAGCAGTCAAGGAACAAAATCAAAAACAGTCTGTGAAACTAAATACAGGAGGTATCCAACATATAAGATAAGATCTGTAATGACCACAAGCAAGAAGGATAAAGACACAAGAGATAGATGGTATAATGAGCAAGATACACATGGTTCAAACAAGTCCTGTTTAACAGCGTGTCGTATCACATTAAGGTTCCAGTTTCACAAAGGAAATGGATGAAGGGGTCAATGAATGAGGAATGATTGGAACAAAGTGGAAATAATAATGGAGAAAAAAGATGGAACCATGGCAAAAAAAAGTCTGAAAGTAGTTAATAAGGTCACCCAATAATCTGCTATGGTAGAAACTGACAATCCTTTATTAAACTATGAGGGAAGAAAGTTTAAAGGTGGGCATAAGGAGAAGAGCCTGGTAGAAGAGAGTGGCAGACAGACCAGCAGCAAAAAACACACCATTGTCAGTTATAGAAGGGAGATACAAATGGGATGAAAGAAGGGCTATGCAGTTGGAGAAACTGAACAATGAGCAAGAGAACAGACAAATCCTATATGTGAAGACAAAGAGATGACACTCCTGGGTGAAAGAGAGACATAGTAGAGAGACAATTGTAGCTAAGGGTACACATGCAAAAATAGATGAGATCAGTTCTAGCTGAGAGCTTCTGCAGCCAGAACAGCTGGGTGAGGTCCTGGGAACCAGAAGAGGGAAAGTTTGAAATTATGAGGAGTGGCAAAGGTATTGATCATTGGCATGGCCAACTGGGAACAGATCCAATGAAAGACCTGAAATGGAAAGAATCCCATCCAATCGAGAGAGATTATCTGACAACAAGTTCAAAGTTCTCAGGACACAACAGGTAGTCAGACAAAACTGATTTGAGCCATTCTAACATGTGGAAGCAAAGGTCCCTGGAACAAGTCCCACCTTGACGATTGATACGGGAAACAACTGTAGAATTGTCAGAGTGGATCATAACTAAGTGATCCACAAGTTGAGGTAGGAAATAGGAACATGCCATTGGGCAGTCAAGAGTTACAGAACATTTATGTGTAAAGTATGCTTCCCATAAAACCAAACCCCTGAGAATGTGGTGTCATCAAGAGTCATACCCCAACCTGTAAGAGGTGTTGTACATGTGGTATTGGCACCAGAATTGAATTTTTTAAAGTAGCTTGTACTGAAATAACTACATCACTGACTTGCACTGTATGAAATCAATGTATACAAACTAACTCTTCTGATGTAAATCTTGTCTAAGACCCACACATCCATACAAGCAAGCTTGTATTGTTTTACACACAAAAGCACAATTGAATACTGTACATAATGTCTTTATCAAGTAATGT